AAACCCAATTTCTAGCATTGTAAGTCTGCAGACATACCGCTGTGCCACTGGAAGGGGGGGGGGGAATTATTAATCCCTGTATAAGACAACTACGTTTTATATTGTTTAATTATATTTGTATATGGCACAAAGGACAAGTAATTGTTAATCCCTGTACCAAGCATCTACATCTCATTTGTTTAATATTTTTGTACATGGCACACAGGACTGATAATTGTTAATCCCTCTATAAAGCATCAACGTATCATATTGTTTAATTAAACATTTTGTACATGGCACACAGGACTGATAATTGTTAATCCCTCTATAAAGCATCAACGTATCATATTGTTTAATTAAATATTTTGTATATGACACATAGAACTGGCAATTGTTAATCCCTCTATAAAGCATCAACGTATCATATTGTTTAATTAAACATTTTGTATATGACACATAGAACTGGCAATTGTTAATCCCTTTATAAAGCGTTTATGTCTCATATTGTTTATTTATTGTATGTGACACACAGGACTGATAATTCTTAAGCTCTGTATAAACTGATGGCCAGTTAATTAATTTTGTTAAAGGCCAGTCAATGTTCCATCAAAAAGCTTGGTACACTTAATTATAAGTAAAAGCTCCATGTTTAGCTGCTTATTAACAGTTCTGTCAACAATTATTTCTAAATATAATTTTACGCTTTCAGGTGTTATATCTTATTCTGTACTTTGTTATTGCTACCAATAAGCCATGTGTTAGGTGTTATATCTTATTCTGTGCTTTGTGTGTGTGTTAATTCAATCCATGTATTATTTTTGATAATTCGTGGAAAGGTGTGTAAACTGTAGAATGTCTGTGTTTGTCATTAGAGGTTTTCGAACTCAGATTAACACCCCCTATACACCTTACAATAAATTCAAACCAAATCTAGTCACGCGGCGTCTATATACCTTACGAAGTATAAGGTAAACAATTGTATCTCTAAATACCTTGTTTGCAGTTTATATAAAAATCTGAATCACGCAGCGTGAGAATACTTCTTTTATAGTACCTAACAGACACAACGAAGAATTCATAATATGTAGTGAAGTCAAAAAGGCCAGCAGATATACGAGAAACCTTACAACCAGCTGCTCAGGTGAAACGAGTGCAAAGTCCTAACACAAGAGTTCATCCTGGGTTCAAGAATATTTTACCCTGGGAACAGATACTATCAGCTATACAGCCCCATATTTTCTACCCGCACGTTTTCAAAGGCATGTCTCGACCACCTCGTGCAGGCTGAGCATGCTAGCCTTTCGTATAACAATTATTAAAAAGTATTAGATAAACGGTTGTAAAATACACCTTCCAAAGTACTTCCAACATGCTTAATCTACATGTCTAGCTTTACGTACGTTATTCAAGGTCATGGTTGATACTTACACGCGCCTTAAAAAGTAAGAATGTATATTTCAGAACCACAAAGAGACTGAGCCACCTGTAGCAATTTTCAATAAGACTTATGTGTAATTTCGGAATATAATTTTGCCCGCTGAATTTTATACCCATTGTTATCTTCTTGAACTTTCGTTACCGTATAACATATTGAAGGCGAAAGAAAAATCATTAGCCCTATGTGTGATCAATAAAACGTATTAAAAATCATTAGCTTTAAGTGTGATCAATAAAACGTATTAAAAATCATTAGCTTTAAGTGTGATCAATAAAATTTATTCAACTATGTTTTGTTTTATTTTGTCTGTGTGCTTTAACTAGGAACTTTGCGAATACTCTCCGCATGTGTAAGCTAAAGTAGTAGCTATTTTGGGTTCTTGAAACTATGACCTTCCGCCAAGTGTAGTAAAAATATGAAACAATATCCAACACTCTCGACTTATAGAGAACTCCTTTAAGTAAGTAACGCACTGAACACTTTTTCGCTGATACCGCCCTTTTAAGCAGAACAGAAACGTCATACACGAACACTTATTCCCCGACGTTGCTCTTTCTAGGAGTACAGAAGTGCTATACGCGAAATTTCTTACCTGACGGAACTCATTTTAGCAGTACAGATGTGCTACACGTAAATACTTCTTCCCTGACGTTACTATTTTTAGCAGTAAAGAAATAATATAAGCGAATACTTCTTCCCTGACTTTACTCTTTTTAGCAGTAAAGAAATAATATAAGCGAATACTTCTTCCCTGACTTTACTCTTTTTAGCAGTAAAGAAATAATATAAGCGAATACTTCTTCCCTGACTTTACTCTTTTTAGCAGTAAAGAAATAATATAAGCGAATACTTATTCCCTGACTTTACTCTTGTTAGCAGTAAAGAAATAATATGTGCGGATACTTCTTCCCTGACTTTACTCTTTTTAGTGGTAAAAAAATAATATGTGCGAATACTTCTTCCCTGATTTTACTCTTTTTAGCAGTAAAGAAATAATATGTGCGAATTCTACTTCTCTGACTTTACTATTTTTAGTGGTATACATATCTTATGCGCAAAAACTTCTCTGATTTTACTTTTTTAAACAGTACAGACGTCTTATAGGTAGAAACTTCTACCCTAACGTTACCTTTTGTTAACATTACAGATGTGTTATACGTAAAAACTCCCTAGGTGCTCTTTTTCGCTGTAAACATGTACTACGTCAATACGTCTGCCTACAAGCGACAACAATTTTTAAGCAAACTTCTTTTACTCGCAATCTGACAGCTTAAAGCTCAGTTTTATTTGCCGTAATGCAGTAACGGTTCATATGTTTATACATTACAGTAATTTCCACGTATAGCAAAGCTTTGACCTACTTTATTAATTTATACCGAGAAACAGAAAAAGCCTGACGTACAAAATGTTAAACTAATGAACAATAGCACAGGTATTACTGCTAACATACGACATAAAACAGCCTAAGCTTTCATATGTACAGCCCAGTTTAACATAATCAGCCGCACACCGAAACGCAGTTAGTTGAACATTGGAAGAGATCAAATTGTAGTGCAGTCTAATAACCACGTACTGAAGCAAAACGCGTTTATATAAAACACATAATTAAATTTTCTCTAAACAAAAGCCATCGGGCAATGAAATGCGCAAAAATTAACGTAATTTGTTTTAAATGCATAGTTATTACATCCAACCGTTCAAATGAAGGAGCTATATCTTTGATTGGTTTGTTTCGAATTTCACGCAAAGCTACACTAGGGCTATCTGCGCTAGCTGTCCTTAATTTAGCAGTGAAAGACGAGAGGGAAGGCAGCTAGCTAGTCATCAACAGACAATGCAGTGGTTGAAATCTACACGAACAATACAACAGAACATAGCGTAGTAAGAGTGAGATCTATGATCATAATATAAAATATGGCATAGCTGAGACTTACAAAAAGAAAACAATATGGTGTGGTATGTAATTAATTACATTTGTCATAATATACTGGTATCAGACTTATTACATTTTAAACTCGTTTTTTACCTACGGGTTTTCAATAACAGGAAGACAGTATAATAATATTTCAACTATGTCCGCTATATCCATTGCTGATGACGCGTTTCACTCAGTAGAGAGCTCAACAGGTCAGCAATG